AAAGTATTAATTAAACAAGATAGTTTAAGTGCTAGCGTTCATACAACGCTAGTATATTACCCTAGTCATTCCATTTACAACCAAATCTCTCCGAATTCTGGGGGCAAAAATATCCATGCGTCACCCACAAATTGCTTAGAGCTCCGCGATCAGAGAGTACGTCGTGGTTCATTTTACCAAGCGCGTAAATCCACAGTTGTTATCTTCCATTGCAAATATTACAACCTACGCAAAGATAGAAAGAGGGGTGATATGAGCGTTCAATTTTCATTCACAACGAAAACAAAGCACTTGCTATGTTACTACCCTCTAACAGGGCCGCAGTTATTATAATGTGGATATTTTTGCTGAGGCGCACAGTACAGAGAATAACCGTGAATTTAACCAGAGACACGTCAGTGAATATCTTGTGAAAAAATCAATCTGTGGCCCTGATACAGAGTATTATATGTGACCACCTTCGTCGCGCAATTTATACAAAGATGTGTAAAAAAGAAAGGGCCCCGAGCAATGCTGTCTTACTTTCAATATTCATTCGTAAAAGGGAAAACGTTCCGGCTATTAAAAAAAACATGGTAAACAGCACGTTTTTGACCAGTCCTACATCTGCGCTGTTTAATTTCGTATCGAGTGAGGTATTACTCGTTTGTGGTGTGAATTACAATATAATNATAACGATTACATAATAAAATAAGGATATGAAATGAAAAGCTGTTGAAATAAGCTTTCTATTGATATGTAACATGTTGGTATATCTTGGTCGGTTTAGAAGATAGCTACCCCTGTTATCTACATCCTTAAGGGGGATTATCTGACAGTAATCTAGTGAGACTCCCCGCGGTGATAGATCGATCTAAAAGTTGTGAGAACAGAGCCATAGAGTCATTGGGATCTCTATAAACATCATTAACCACACTCAGCCGAGTTTTAAGTAGATTTACTTCACGTCTTTAAAGTTTGACCCAAGCGACCACTACGGATCTAATATAGTCTGAATCAAAATGGGGTTTCGCTGTACGCATGGCCACAGGAAGGCAGGATCAAGAAAAAAAACCCACGAGGTCTCAGATTCTATTTTCCCGAAGATTTAGACCCCATTTCCAGAGATTAGATCGATCTACTTTAGATCGACCTAACTCCCTGGGGGTTCACGCTAAATAGCTGTCAGCCGGGCGGACACGAAAGTTAATTACCCCCTTACAGCTTGTAGTAGGCGGGACGGACATTTAAGCCGGATTATCTGACAGTAATCAAGTGAGACTCCCCGCGGGGATAGATCGATCTAAAAGCTCTGGGAAGACAGCCTTAAAGACTATCAGATCCATAACGGTTAATGATGTTTATAGAGGTATATTTCCTCTAACTTCACCCAAAAATTGTTTGACCGTAACTGGCCTTGTGTGGACGCAGCCATGATGCCACGATTCGTGGTTTTATTTTCGACTATAACAGACTATGATGGGCTCAGTGACAAGCGTGTCGTAGGTGACTTCGGTCTCGTAGGGTCAAAGACTGACAAATAACTCACCAAGTGCTGTCTTGTCATCTCATCGGGTACGACAAAATTAATAAAAGAATGAAAAAAAAAACATTGACAAAAGTAGATCGAAGCTACCAAATAAAAATCATATCAATTAATTAATGTAATTATTTATTTTTATCTCCCCCCTCTCCGAATGCTCAAACCTGTGGTGTTGTCAAGAGCGAATGCAAAGATAGCGACCTGGATAAATATAAATCTGTACCAGTCCAAATTCAACTGACGACAGTCCTTAAGTCACCATGAAGTGAGACCTTTATACCTTGTAATATAAAAGACATAACCAAAGGCAAGGGCAGGGCAGGGCAATAATCTTCGTAATCACGCATCTCTCTCTTTAATCTATGGCAAATGAAACTGTATTGATTTAAAATTCCTGCCAAGCACCAGAACACGAGCGGGAAAGAGCAATGCAAATTTGTTCAGCAGCCGGGCGCAAGACAAGGTGAGAAATGTCACCAAGATAAGGAAACCTTGAATTCTCTTCGCTCCCAGGTGGAAAGTAGGCAAAAACACCACGGCGTCTTCACGTGAAGGTTGACGGGGTTATTGTGAGGCAGAGGTATTTGTCCTAGGCAGCCTGCTATCAACGCGCATTTACACCCTAGTTTGCTTTCTCACTACATCAGTGCCACATATCTAAAATGATAAAGTTTTAAGGGGTCACAGGCCCGTAGCCAGGGGGTTCGGGGGGTTCGAAAGAACCTCCCTTTTTCCGGGAAAAGGTCCCCTGTGGATAGAATTTTATCTAGGTACACGAAGGTTTCATGGTAAAAGGTCCACTTTAGAAAAAGACCTCCCCCCTTTTGAAATTGTTGGCTAGAAAGGTCAGAAAGGCCACTCTAGGCTGAGAAATCATTAAACAACTTGGGGGTCCGCAAACCTTTATTTCATGCCACGGAGCTCAGAAAATGAATATTCCAAGTTCCACTGGCTTACATTCTGGTGATGTACATGTACTCACAGCTCGAGCCTTGCTCAGAGTGATTTTTAACGTGCACAAACAGCACTGCGTTTTCTTTACCGGCAGGGGTAAATAAACACAATTCTAAATACAATTTTTCGTTAATGAAAATTCCAAGAATCATGTTTACAATTACGTACATTGAAAAACATGGAGTGCACGTACGTCTTCTAACCATGAACGGTCACCCTCTCGTACTACTCTCTGACCAGTAGTCTGTTACAAAATTATTGTATTATTATATGTATACTTTGATTTTGAATACTGTTTTACTGGCTCCGATATCAGATTGCACTATTTTACCATGTATTCACTCTCCGTTAAAGGGATAATAACTCTTCGTATGAGATCTATATTTCACAATAAAAACATTGTGAATAACTCATAGAAATATAATATATTCTGTTTTACCACAAAAACGGCAGTTATAGCTATTATTCTGATATCTGAGCTTGTCTTTAGACCACGTGACCTCCATTGATGGCTATACTCTGTTAAAATCTCTTAAGAGATTTAAACAAAAAACCAAACTTTTTAGAAAAAAAACCAGGGACTAACTTTGAATGTAAAAATGGATTCATTAACCATTGGTAAGTATGGGAAAATTGTTGTTTACTCTAGGAAAATTCATTTTTTGGCCGAAACGAAGAGTTATATAGCAGCAACGGCTAGTGTTTTCTTTGGAAATTGTAATATTGGACAGTTACCTTACTATGAATATTAATGGTGCTGACCTACTCTGTATCAGGGGCGCAGATTTTACTATATGTATTACAGTATATGCACTTTTCTCTGACGACTCACTGTGCAGAGAAGTCCTATAATTCAAACTGGAGACACATCTGTGGATATCTAATGAAAAATCAGTGTGTGGCCCTGGTAGAGGACAGTGCTGGGCAGAGGCCGGAGGCGAGAAAACACCGGACCAATCGTCCACGCAGCAGGATGACCAAAACGCCCAGCATGTCATAATGTGCATACTGGTCAGACGACAGTCTCTGACAGTCTATGTACAACACAGACACAACTAAAGACGCAAAAAATGGAGCGGCAATGGTGCGAATTTAGTTATTAGTCATTTTGTTTAAAATAAGCTTTGTCTGAGCATTCAGCACGTTTGTCTTCAACTAAACAAATATGATGACTATCGTGTAACATCGCGAAATGGTCCCTCTGCTTCCATGTAAACTTGCCCGACTCTAGTTCGTTTCAGGCTCGCACCAGTTTAACCAATATAAACGTGCTTTTTTCTTAATGAAATTAAGCAGGTATTCTAGCAATGAATAACACCACAAGCGGTCAGTCGGTCCACTGGGTATGATGACCGGGCCTCTGGGTTGACCAGTACACAAACGAAGTTGACTAAAGTTAACACGAGACTGGATTAACGGCTTGTTTTTCTGCAACCCTCTTTTTTCCTTGTCCAAAAACAAGTTGACGAAGTATAAGACTGTTATTGTTGGTTTTCCTAAGTCACATCTGGTTATTTAAACAATGAAATAACAAAGTTTTCGTGCCCGCGCGAATCGACCCTAATCGTGCAGAATGCTATTTCGCCTGACTCCTGAAGCTATTACTCAATTTCTACTTAGTATATATTACTTAAGTAGTTTTTCTTTGCAGTCTTTAATGTTCTTTTTTAAAAAACTAGTCCGAGTCTATCTGAGAGTTCATTTGCTTTCATCTTACTTCCTCCAATCCATCCTCTTTGACATGACAGAAAATTTAACCTCCTACACAAAGCTCAGTTTTTAAACTGGGTTTCTTTTTCTTAAAAGAAAAGGATAGGTTTCCTGAAGGGGTAGAACGCTCCTATCTTTTACGAAAATAAGAATGTCAATAATCCACGCCATTAAATAAAATATCACTCCATATACTTCAATTTGCCATTATTATCAGTATAATCAAAATCATATGTTACTCAGAAATTCTCGTTTCACACCGTTTTATTTTCTCTGTTTAGTTATCAAAGATGGAGACCTACTCTTGAGAGGTCAGTTTACCAGTGTGTATAACGGTGTCGTGATAGGCGGCTTGACGGAAATATTTGTCGTATTAAAAGCTTTCGTGACATCTAAACCGCTGGCGAATTGCCCAAAAGAAAATTGATGTTGTCCACTGAAATGACACGGCTATTCGTCTTCCGCCATGTTCTGGCCACTGGGGACGTGTTCTTGTGATTGCGACAGCGGTGCCCGTTGCACATGAACGCATTGCGTCTCAGACATCAAGCAGCATACACAACAAATGCAGCGTGATATCTCTGTCGATTTTACTTAACAATGATCAGATGAGATACCCCTAGCAGTGCAGGTTTTGCAAATGCCATTTCACATCTCTTAATCCTTTTTTTCAATTTTGAAACTTCAATATTGGTGTAGCATATAGAGTAATTTTGGTAATAGTTTAAATCAAAACAAGTGATTTGATTTTATAGTGTTTTACATTGTACTTCTAAAATCATTTTAACTTGGATGTATTTACACGTTTTTTCAGCTCTGTGCCAAGCAGACCGCATTCATGTAGAGAAGAAAGAAGCCGAGCATAAAACAAAACAGACGACAGTTGACGATCGGGTCGAGGAATTCCTCCGCCTTAACCATTACCCCGGCGGCGCCATTGCCGTAATGAAGCACGGCAAGCTCGTACACGCAAAAGGCTACGGTACATTTGAAAATGGACACAAAATTCACGCGAGGAGTTTATTCCCGGTGTCCAGCGTTTCAAAATCCATCACCGCCGTCGCCATCTTAAAACTGGTTGAAGACGGAAAACTTGATCTTGAGAGGACCGTTTTCGGTTCCTCCGGCGTTTTGCACTCCATGACCCCTTATTTGGGGAAATTCATAGACCCTCGCCTGACGGATATTACCGTGGAGCACCTCCTTCACCATACGGCGGGCTGGGACGAGACGAAAGCGCCAGTCTACGATCCCACGATGAACTCCCTTTACATATCACTTAAACACAACGTGACTAATATTGCCAAGGTCGTTGGGGCCGTGGGGGACCTTGTGCCCTATCACATATTGAAATTTATGATGAATCAATCCTTACACTTCACGCCAGGCACAAAATATCAGTATTCTAACTTCGGTTACATGGTCCTCGGGCGAATCATCGAAGAAGTAACAGATATGGACTATGACGAATACGTGCAGGAGAATATCTTCACGCCTTGTGGTATGTGGAAAACCAGGCTTGGCGCCCCAAAGTCACGCAGTCGAGGTGGTAAATCTCGCAAATCAAGGCTTCACAAGTTCCACTTCGACGAAAAGGAAACTATTGTACAAACGAAAGACGGTACCAAGAAGGACGTTCACGATGTCATATCTCCATACACGTTGGATTCTACGCTCGGTTGGCACTCCAATGTATACGATATGATGCGGTTCTTGATTTGCGTCGACGGAACCGGTCACACACAGGTTCTGAAGCGGGAATCCATCAGGCGGATGCTTCGGCGACCGGGGCTCCCAATGCCCCAGCACGTGGACACATGGCACGCGGCCGGTTTCACGGCCAAGTTAAGCGGCCAGTTCTGGCAGGAGTCCGATGACCACTTTAACGACATGATTCTCTTCCACGGTGGCATCCTACAACATAAAACTGAGCATTCGAAGGGCGGGCTTGACGACGCCATCGTGCCGCCGGCGATGTCATTCGTGCTCCTCCTTCCAGACAACCACCACACTCGCCTTAAACTTCTCGTTCGTAATCTTCTTGGTGACATCCGACCATCAGAGTGGCCGAGCCACGACCTCCTTGCTGCTGACCTCGCCGACTCCCATATCAAAAACGACAACGTGGACATGTTAGTGAAATACAAGATGTCCGAGCATCGTCTAAAACCGTGGGCCAATGCAATGAAAGTGGCTGGGTACTATCCGCACTGGATGCATGCGTACATCTTCAGAGAGAACACAAATTTTCTGGGTATTTTCAAGAAGGCCGTCAATAAGACTGAACTGGATTATCTGGTAGATCATGGCCTGACAAAGCAACGACTTCGAAACCACCTCGACACATACCGGGAGGGCGGATACCACTACAAGCTGGTACAGAATTATCTCAGCACAGGCCACGACAACAGACTCTGCCACCTGGTGGTGGTCAGCAAAAAAACTGACGACGCGCCCCATTCGAGAATCAGCGTGGACGAGAGTGTGACGTCATACAGAGGAAACATTCAAAGACACGTGCGGGACTCTTACTATCCTATCGCACAGTCCATTGAAACTCGCAGCGATAAAGAAATCATAACGGCTCTCTATAGCAAAAAGCAAAATCCAGCTACAAAGCTTTATCACGATCTCAACTCTAAACAGTTAGAGAGACTCTCCGAGGCCATGGGTAAAAAAGAATATACCCTTGGCTACCTAGACACCTACCTTCACAATGGCGAACCTAAATTTTCCGCCATTTTTAGTAAACTTAAAGTGAAGAAATGGTTCCTGGAGAACGAGCTTACCATTGCGTGGATTCGGACTGATGTGCGAAAACTATTCCAAATGAGTTTTGTACCAGATATGATTGTGGGTTATGAAAAAACGGGAGAACTGCAGTTTACCGGCTACTGGGTGAAGGCATAATTGCTATTTAGTTTCGACTACCGAAAAGTACAAAACCGCCGACTTGAACTCTATTTTTTGCAGAACGTTTGTCGCACAGATCTTATTGCTCGCTAACTCAACGAACAACATGCAAATGTATTCATTATGATGATTTAACTTCTCTATTTGAACTTTATGATATGTACATAATACCATTTTAGCGTTTGTTGTCGGTAAGATTACCTTAAGCAGTTTTCCTTGTTAACCTAAAATACTAATCTTCTGCAGCTAAATAACTTTCTCAATCAATAATATGTTATTTTGACTTAAATGATTACTTCTCAATCCTCAAGTTGAGAACGCTCACTCTAATATATTACAAAAGCTGATGTGTTTTTTTACCTCCAAACTGTCCAATCCTGAACTACCTGCGAGCACATGTACATATTTTTGAACAACATCATTACAGCTGTTCACTGTATCTTCACATCAGCTTTTGTAAGAGTTTGTAATTTTAGAACTTGACTAAATACTATTTTTGTGTGTGTTTGTTGTTTTCAAGATTACTCTCTTTCTGCCTCATTTTAAATATATGTAGATGGACTGGTGGCAGTAGAGCTCCAGAGAAAACGTTGGTTTTGGACTCGTTATGGGAAATCACGTGTCAACTTGTATGCACACAATACGTTTTGTAAAAATAAATCTTGTTATATGTTATGAATAAAAAAACGTCTTTTAAGTTTGAATTTAATGTGTTTTTCCCTGGTATTCTTAATTACAAAAAGTCCAATTCCAGTAAGCCCTCTTGTGGACTACGTTTAGTAAGCATCATGCCAAATCGACATCTTTCTTGTCCATGAAGTACGAGCGACACGAAAAACAGCTATCTGAATCCAACAATCTTAGAGAGAGAGAGAGAGAGAGAGAGAGAGAATAACAACTGCCATTGCTAATTACTTGAAAAAAGTCTTGTGATACTTAATAGTTGCAATGTTCCTCCGAAAGTCCTAAAGATATTTTCATAACAAATACATGCACGTATAATTTAGTCAGGAGGCGCGACCAAAATATTTTAGACCAAGATTGAAGTCTACCTTAACGAGGCCAAAATTAATCTGTAATTTAGTCCACTTAAATAAAATAGTGTCATTTTATAATTAATAATACATGGCTTATTGTTTTCAAATAATACTTATATTATCTTAGTGACGACCTACTTTGAAGTTTATCTTAAGTCGAAGTAGACCGATCGATTGATCTGCAACTTAAGACCAATTTCATTTTTTTTTTTCATGAAAAAAAAGAGTTCCCCTAATTTGTGGTAATAGGCACAAAGAAGTTAAAGGGATAATAACTCTTCGTTTTGGCAAAAAAAAAAAAAAAAGAATTTTCCTGGAGTAAACAACAATTTTCCCATACTTCCCAATGGTTAATGAATCCATTTTTTCAGAGTTAGTCCCTGTTTTTTTTTTTTCTAAAAAGATTGGTTTTTTGTTAAAATCTCTTAAGAGATTATAACAGAGTGCAGCCATCAATGGAGGTCACGTGATCTGAAGACAAGCTCAAATATCAGAATAACAGCTATAACTGCCGTTTGTGTGGTAAAACAGAATATATTATATTTCTATGAATTGTTCACAATGTTTTTATTGTGAAATATAGATATCATACAAAGAGTTATTATCCCTTTAACTAATTTAAACTTTATTACTACCTACAACAAAAGTATTCACTCAGCATTAGACCAAATTTAAGTTTTATCTTATGTATATGTCATTATTCTGGCTACCATTTCAACTATAAATTCATTTTTCTAGAATGCAAGGGGGTGCAATTTGGTGCACTTTGCTGAAATAAGTACATGAACTATACTTGTGGTGTATAGTACACTATAACTGGGTGCAATAGAGTATATTTTCTGCCTTATTGTAAAACAAGAAATTCGGTACCCTAATCCCCATTTTTCTTTTGTAACCTGTAGGGGGCCTATTCATGCCACCTTAGCGCTGGATGCCAGATCACTTGATCTGACTGACACCGCAGCTCATTTTGCATAAAAACTTGTCCCTAAACAGCTGGTTTATTTCTCTATAATTAACAGAAAATATCAATCCATAAAGCTGATTCAAAATAAAAGTACATGGGTGATGGCACCTGACCAACCTGAGATGTGAAAAGTAGGGCTACCATGCCTGGGACCTAGGATACATGTACCAAGAGCATGGTAAGGGCTTGTTCACAATGGAACTATCATACTAGGTAGTTCTAATGCTGCGGGGACTCTCACTTAATTCTTGACACAGCCCTAATACATGGATTAGGCATTTTCTAACTCGAGCCTCAGATTTGAAGAATTAAGGGTCTTGAAGAATGGTAGGCCTACGTAGCCTCGTAGGGGCCTTCGTAACTCTAGGATGGAAGTCCGGGGTCCCATATCATTAGTACAGATTACGGTTGGACGGAGTATTGAGGTTAGGACTAATTTCTCCTGTACAAAGTAATGGGGAACGGACTACGGTTCCTAGCGGACTACAATTCCTGTCACAGTGTACACAAACCCATAATAAACGTAAACATCGACTTCTGATACCATTTTCACCTTTTTCGGAGGACACCAGACACCCTCTGTGATGTTTTACGCTTTTCTTGTATACTTAAAAACCTGCTTGTGGTATTCTATTAAACATCAAGAGATAATTTACTTAGTTTACAGCGTTGAACCGTTTCCCTATGACAAACTTACCTATGACAGCACGTGTGCTTGCATATAGTGCTAGTTGCAGTCTGGAGACGTATTGCTACAAGATTTCGCCACGTTATTTCAGGCCAGAAGTAAGATGTCATCTCAGGCCAGAAATTTATTTTTAATAACAACTAAATGCCCCTTTCAGTGAAAGTCTTGATACAAATTTCTGGAATAACTAACTTTAACATATTTTCTTAATTGGAAATATTTGTTTAACACACTTTCGAAAAGTTGGTGCAGTGATTACCTGCATTTTCTGTTCATTAAGAATCCACTTGAATTAATTTTGCCAACAGTATCTGTTTCAGATCTATTCACTTATTCAAAATGAGGAGGAAATGTGGCAGTAGTAGGCCTAGTGGTGATGGTGGTGGTATGTGTGTATGGGGCAGTGGCGAATTTAGAGGGGGGGGGGGTCAGGGGGTCCTGACCCTCCCCCCTTTCGGTTTCTGAAAAATATATCACACCAATATTCCCCTCTTGATATTAGACGTTTGACTAGCTAAATCATAGTTCTAAACCGTACCAAAGGGCACTGTTTGCTCTTGCTCTCCTGAAAACCAAAAAAAAAAATAATAAATAAAAATTCGGGACCCTTGAGCATGCCCCAAACCCCTTACCAAGGAGGCGATGGTCGGCTTCAAATCCGAGGTCTGTCGTTCCG